GATCTGTCAGCCCCCAAAGCACTTGTGCTGGAGACTACAGTCAGAAGCACTGAACCAATGACTCAGGGAAGGAAAACCTCTATCAGTCGGCATCCAGGCAGGAAAATAGAAACCACATCACTTATTTAACAGAAAAGATTTAGTGTAGGGACTTGATTAGAGAAGTTTGGGAGACCTGTAGCGTACAAGGGAAGCATTGAGGTGATGCAAGACAGCAATCACAGAAAGCAGCTTTATCTCCTGGGACTGGAGGAACAAAGAGGAAACCCTTGAATTGAGAAGCCCAGAGAAGGAGCTGTACTGAACTGGGCCAGAGACCCCTATGGTAAGTTTGCTTTCTGGGTGGCCTTGATTCTCCTGTGGCATGAAGAGATCCTACAGGTCTAGGACTCTGGCCCAAGGAATAGCACTGCTCTGTGGGTGGTGCTTCCTTAGGAACTTGAAGGAGAGCCCCACTGAGCAGTGATTCAGATCTTTAAGTAGACCATGTGTCAGCATCTCCGAAAGGCCCAAAGAGGCTGCTCCTTTGAAGTATGAAAACTGCAACCACCTGCTGCCACTAGACCCGACCTCTGCTGAAAAGTTAAAGAAAAATTGTCAGGGCAAAGCTGGCAGAAGCTGGAAACAAGTGAAATGGATCAAGTCCCTACTCCCCACTTTTGCTTTCCAGTTTCCCTCTAGGGCCTCCTCTGGGCAAAAATGAACAGAAATCCTGCTGCAAAGAAGAAAGATGGTTTGTAGCATCTCAGGTTCAGACTCGCAGAGCTGGGTTTGGAAGTAAGAAATAATAGGTTAATAATGAGTACAGTTGCTGCCCAAGGAACTCAGGCCCCTCAGCTCTGAATTAGCTCAGGTAGCCACCGCAACACAGAGAGAGGCAGAAGGATGTTTGTTGTGTGTTCCTTGGCAGGCAGATCCACATAATAGTTCTGGTGGACAGCCGAATTAGCATATCAGGGAAGTTGAGTAGAGACTGAATTATAATTTCTAACTCTGAGTTTTTATACCTCTCCAATATAGCTAACAAAAGTGACAGTTCTGCCTTAGAAAGCCCACATTTTTAGTGCTACCTAACCACCTGTATTGATTATAATGCATTATAATTCAGAAAAATTAAGCATTCTAGTAGGTATCATTCTTCTGATTAATCTATCATAATCTGATGAGAAGTGTTGAAGGGGAAAAGACAGCATATGGGAGCACACAAATGCATAGCAACTCAGTATTAAACTTTCAACAAGTTCTGACGCAGATGTATGCTCTGCCAAGAATGAGACTTACTAACCCTAAACAAAAAGTGCAAAAGCAATACCCAGTCACAACTTTACTCTTGAAAGTGACAGGGAGCCAACATAAGAAGACATTGTCTTTAAGAGACCAAACCTTTTCTCCAATCTCATGTTTTTACAGAGAGTGTCAGGGACTCTATTTAGCTAGGCTGCTGAGATGCCAGAACCAACTGTGATGCTTAGCTAATGGCTAGAGCTCTCATTCAAGGACAACACTGACTCACCTCCAGCTGGTGGTGGAGGATTAAGGCCTATCTCTCCTCTGAGTTATGATGATCTTAGTAGAAAACTAGTAACAACTTGTGGTAGTACTTAGTCCCAGACCTGGCATATGGCAGCTCTCGTTAGTTTGGATAGTCATTATAGTGGTGAAAGTGGCACAGCAGTAACCAAAAATCCTTCCAAATATGAGAAAGTCCATTTCTGGTTGGTCGTAGATCAGTGGTTCTCATCTGGGAATGATCTTTTCCTTTAGCCAGAAGATATTTGGCAATGTTTGAAGATGTACTTGGTTGTCACAACTGAGACAGTTCTACTGGCATCTGGTTGACTGAGGCCAAGGATGTTGTTAAATGCCTACAATACACAGGATAGCTCCCACAGCAAGTATGTAGCTCAAAATATCAATAATGTCAGGGTTGGCAATCCCCAGTGTAGTTGCACTCAAGGATCAATTGCTAAGCTGGAGAAAAGGAAAGTCAATATAAAACACAAGCATACAACTCCTTCCTTGTCTGGGACCAAAGGACAAAGAAATGTGGCTAAGACTCAGTTTGCGAAGCAACCTTTGTGTAGAAGAAATTGGGTGTACTGCAGAGCCATATCTTGTTTCTCTCAGGCAGATTCGTCATCATATGGTTGTTGGTAATGGCAAACCAATCTGGTTTCACCACTTAGAAGAGGTCTACTGGAATTAAGAAGACCAAAAAGGTAAGGGCTTGTGGTTGGAAAATCATTTGGGGGGAAAAAATGTGTTTTCCTTGATTGATATGCATTATCAAAAACAAAAAGCAGAGAAATGGTTGTTACTGTGAAGTCATAGTTAGCCAACCATAGAAGGTACTACCTGCAAGAGTACTGTGGGGTGATGGAGTCTGTCTGCCTTAAATCACGGGACTGATGTTAAGAGATAATATCATGGGGCAAAAAAGAGCTGCTTTTCAGTCCCAACTGAAGGAGGCAAATTGGTGCCAGTCCCTGCAAAAGCATCCACATAAATAACAAAGTCTTGGTTGTTAGGTCAGTTGAAGGAAAAGAATGTATTTGTTTCTGAGAAAGTGAACACTAAGAAACACAGCATTCTAGCAGGTAGGGGCATTCTACTTGCAATAAAACACTATGGGAAGCAGAACCTGCTGCTCATATAAGGTTCAAACAGACAAGATAAGCAAAGCTTATGATAGGGTATTAACTGAACCAGGAAGAGAAAGAGTGATCTTCTAAAAACCTTCTTGAGTTTGAAGAACAGTAAAAGGTGCTGGCCCTGAAAGAGTGTAGACTTTGCAGAGATGGGAAAGAATTCAGAACTAAGGAAAATTTGATGGCCCATCTCTGTCAGGAAACTCTCCCATCTGGCCTTTCCTAAGTAGAAATGATGTCATTCATCAGTCTGAAAATTTCCAAGATAAACTGTGTCCATTTTTTGCATCAGAGACAACTGGAATGTTTTCTCATTTATCCATCATAATTGCTTCTCCTTACAAGGTCATTTTTAGAAAGCCAAACCACAGCTGCCCATAGCCCTTAAATGTGTGGTTCCACACTACCTAGCCCCAATTATCCTTCCCTGATGGTCATTACAAACTTCACTCTAAGCCGGGCAAGGATGAGGGGCTATGATATTCAGTCTTCCTCAGCTATTCCTGTCCTCAGTGATCATTCATTAGTAATAAGATCTTAAACTTACATAGCACTTGATATTATTTTCTTCAGTTCTCTCACTGAATCTTGGCAACATCTCTAATTGCTTTATTGTCTTCTTTATACTCAGAAGGAAACAAGACTCTAATAGGTTGAGTGCTTCTGAGTTCAAATTTGAAACCAGATCTTCCCCCTCCCACCCAGGGCTCTTTTTCCTCTTTTCATACTTTTCCCTCTTTCCATACTTCTTCTCTGAGCATCTACTACCCCATCACAACACACTCAGACACAGCACTCTTTATGCCTTTTCTTTTCTTTCTATATTCGTCATCATGGGTGCAAGTGTCTGTTTCAATGATTACCAGCTTTCTAAGAAGATAGATCAAATCTCATGTGTTTGTTTATCAAATTACTAATACTCTCTTAAACACTGAATATGTGTCTAAGTGATTTTTACTTTTTAATGCATTGTAAAATATAGAAAGTGTAAAATATAAAAACTTAAGATAAACAATACAATAAATATTCTTCATGGCATGTTGAAAATTTATTAGCAATTATATTGAATCATTGGTGGCTGTTTTAAAAGCATGGTTCATCAAAAAGTCTGAGGCCACCAAGGGTTTCAACATGTTATTTGGGAGTTAGAATTCTACTGGAAGAGATTAAACCTGTTCCATAGCAATCAACAAATAAAAGCCACAGTCAGCCACAATTCATCAAATTCTTGGATTTCATGTTCAAGAGCAGGGTGTTTCTGATGAATGATATTGAGAATACTGGATGAAGAACCACAGACAACTCATTCCTTCTAAATCAATTATCAAACTCTACTTTCAGCTTCTACCTACAATAGCAAACGATGTGTGTTATTATTTATTTCTAAAGATACAACTAAACATTCACATCTTACTTCTGTCATCTTTATGGACCATGATAAAGAGAATAAAATTTCCAGTACAATTTTCTAATAGCACAGAGCACAAGCTCATTTTGAATGACATGGAGGATTTGTTCATCCAGTTTTATTCTAAAACAATGGAAAGTTAGCATTGCCTTATTACAAAAGTGTATAACTTATTAGGGCTGGATCGTAGCAGGGGTCCCCACTTTAGGTCAATGAAGTAGGTCGGATACTCACAATCTGAGAACAAAGTCAAGCAAGGGTGAGACTATCCAGCATTTTCCTAGGTATTAAATTTGGAATTTCCGCATTCAAAGCAAAGTGGTGGTCCTAATACCACATTTCATATTGAACGTCAATGAAAAGAAAAAAGAAAAACAGAAGCAACGGTTGCCTTAGAATCAACTGTTGGTCATAAATCACTTATTTTAGAAGTCCAACTGGTTCCAGAGGAAATGATTGAGGTAAGATGATGGGGATAGAAGGTGTCTTAGGGGTCAATGGTCACCTTAAAGTAAATCTGCAGTCTGACAATGCTTCAAGTGCTGTGGGATCCACAATCCTGCCTAACTCTTTTCAGCCCACACATCTAAATTCAGGATTTGTACCCTGGATGTTGTACATGCAAAAGAAAAAACTGGAAACTATTTGATGTGACTACAAGTCTAAAACACAAGGAGGTTTTTTCTTCTAGATTGTTTTGTTTCTTTATCAATTTATCACTGACATCACTTTGGAGTTAGACTATGTGCCGAACCACAGTCCTCCCATTAGCCACTCTCAGAGCACCTGGACTCTAAAGCTCATCCAGGCAGACGTTCTGTTTGAATGGAAGAGACAGGTTTACTTATCTTCCAATCCAGAAATGTGCTCATCAGACCTGCACAGATAGCAGTATCCCTACAAAAACTACATTCTTCAAGGAGAAGAGCTTCAGAAGATACAGGTTAATTTCTGAAGAAAGGGAAAAGCTTCTTGAGGGATGCTTTGATCTCCTTGTTTCTTAAAGTATAGATGAGAGGGTTGAGGGTGGGGCTTAACATGGTGTACAGCACACCGGCCAACTTGCTCTTCTCTGCACTGTAGCTGGTGACAAGGCTTATGTAGGCATAGAAGACAGCAGTGTAATACATGCACTCCACAATGAGGTGGGAAGAAAAGGTGGAGAAGGATTTCTGCTTCCCCTCTGCAGTTTGCATCTTCAGTACACCAGAGATGATGAAGCCATATAACACGATGATCATCAGGAAGTTTAATATGCCATAAAAGGCATCTGCCAAGACAATCATGACACTGTTCACATAGGTGGAGCTGCAGGAGAGAAGTAGCAGTGGAGAGACCTCATAGAAGAAATGAGTAATGACACTGGGGCCACAGATATTCAAGCGCAGTATCAGTCCCGTGTGGACGGCTGTGTTGAAGGCACAGAACAGTCACACACCTGCAACCAGCATGCTGCAGAATGCCTTGTTCATCATGGCGCTGAAGTGCAGCAGTTGGCAGATGGCTGCATACCGGTCATAGGCCATAACTGTGAGGAGGAACAGCTCAAAGGATGCGGCCCATGTGAGGAAATAGAGCTGGGCCATACAGCCCCCATACGAGATGGAACTCTCCTCTAACACTAGGCCTGTCAGTGCCTTGAGCATGATGGAAGAGGTACAGATAATGTCCATAGTAGCCAAGTTGAACAGAAAAAAGTACATGGGAGTGTGGAGCCCAGGGTTGAAAGTGATGGCCAAGATGATGAGGACATCACCTGTGAGGGCCAGAGAGTAGAGGGAGAGGAAGCAGCTGAATAAGAGAACCTGGTATTCTGGGTGCTCCGAAAAGGCCTGCAAAATAAACTCTGTAACCAGCGTCTGGTTACTCATGGTCCTTGGACTAAGAGAGCCTTCTGAGGCTACCAGGTGAATCTTCACCCACAGCTTCATGTGATTTCAGGGCTAGAGAGCTAGAAGAGAGTATTTGCATTGGTGCAAAGATGCAGAACTTTTGAAATATGTACTCCACTTGAGGCAGAACTTTCTCTTCTAGAAATTTATCCTTAAAAACATCCTCAAGGTGCCAAAGCAGTGCTATTTATAGCAGTGAAAATTTAAACTCAACCTAAAACTCTTAGAAGTGAGTATTGATACAATGCTGTGTAGTTATCAAAATAATACTTTGAAAGTGTTTTACTGATGTTTTAAAAATAGAATTATAAAAAGATTAAAAATAATATATCAATAAGATCTCATTTGGGAATTTTTTAAAGCATGTATATTATAAGTACCTGTAGGAGAAAAAACTATTGAGTGACAGACCAGAGTTTGGGTGTTAGACCAGAGTGGGAGTTAATGATGATTGATTTTCACTTCCATGATTTTGCTGCCCTGAATTTTCTGATTTTGCTATAGAATGATCTTTCTAAAAGGCAGATGTATCAGGTAATTTCCTGACAGTTCTCATGTGGCTTCCCATTGCTGAGAAAATACATGCTTCCAGCTACTCCTCTCAGATCTACCTTCTCTCCATCCTCTCTTCTCATTCATCTTAGCCTTCAAAACCAGAACTCCAGCCATGCCCAGCACTCCCAGGCTGGCCAATGCACCAAGCCATGTCAGACTTTCTTAGCTTTGTTCTTGCAACACCCTCAGCAAGGAATGCAATCCTCATGAAACCCCTTCTTTCTGAACATCCCTTCCCCCAGGAGAAAGGACCACTCTCTGTTTTGTTTCCTCTTTGTATTCTCTACTGATTTCTATCCTAGAGCATGTTACATATCACTGCTTGAACAGGTGCCCAATTGTGTCCTCTAAAATTGACATATATGACCAATTTATCTCTGGACATCTCTTCTTGGCACTTAGCCCCATTCCTGGGAGGTATGGGTGGGCACTCAAATATATGTGTTGAAATAGCGCTCAAGAACTGTCCAGTATGAATAATAGCAGAATAACTTCTATTCTCCAGACAGACAATGCACATTCTATACTGTTTGAGATAAAATTAGCATGGTACACATTTACTTTTTTCTACTTTTTGATTATTTATTCATTAAAAGAATTTAGGAAAATGTTCATTCTTAATGAACAATTACAGTTTTTATCAAACTTCAAGAAATATATTTACCATTAAAACATTGAAAGGCTTACACAAAATGACCACATAATTCCTCCAGTTTGGGTCATGTCACCAATTTTTAAGATGTAGACTGTTCTTTGAATAGAAGACATAAAATCCCTCTGATTCAGAGCAAAAAGTCTACATTAGAATAGAGTCTGATGACAGCTGATGGGAATGATGGGATTCTGTCTGGGTATCTTTCCAACAAGGCATCAGGACAGCTCAATAACCTGGATGGATGCAATAAATAATATGCTGTAGCTGATTTCATTTATGTTTGGGACAAAAATATTGAATAATTACTTTGGTTTAGTGTGAGTTTGAGGTTTGAAGAAATGATTAACTTTAATTGTGCCTTATCATGGCCCAGTGAGTGATTCTTGTTTAACTCCAGGGACCACTGTGAAACTGAAAAGGGGCAGAATTGGATTTGCTCAATCCAGTTCTGCCCCTTTCCCTACACTTCCCATTGATGTTCTCCCTAGGATTTTAGCCATCTGACTCACCCAGCTATCAGAACATTATGGTCCACTCCACAGTAGGATATCACAAACAAACCAGAGTTCTTACACTGCATCAATTCCTGGGAGGACAAACACATCCCTCACTGAACACTTACTCAGCAGTAGTGTGCTGGGTCTGTCACACACCATTCCCAGAGCACCAAAATAACCTATTACAAAGGAAATCTTAAATTCAATCTCTCTCTTAGCTCAGCTCCAGAGAGAAGAAAAAAAAACCTGCAACATAAATGGAGTTTTAAACAGGTGCTGAGCACAAGGAGATTTCAACAAACATTCATAGTCAGGTAACAAATTAGTCCTCAGGTAATTACCCATTCACTGTGATTTCCAGGGCAGGTGAACAGTCTCCTCATCCAATCAGTCAATATGGAGATCAAAGAATCAGGACACCAAGACTCACTCCATGAAAATGACCATACAATCTCTGTTGGACTTCAGCCCAGTCATTTCTTCTAAAAATAACAAAGACCTTGCTCTCTCAAAGTTCAAAAGGCATTGGCTTTAATTGTCACCAAGCATCATAAGATTCTTACCAAGGATGTGAGGAAAAAGAACACAATTTCAGCTAACAATTGACAAGTTCAAACAATACTACATTCAGACAACCAAATTACTCCCCACGTGCAAGGCAATAAGATACATACATAGTTGTTATTTTCCAAATTTATGAAACCCTTAGACATTTCTGAGGAAATAAAAATGCATCTTGAATGATTTATATCACTTTGAAGAAACAGCAATAGGTGTCCTCAAAATCCTTTAGATTAAAAAGGTCATCTCACTGAGTTTTTCCTAACAATTTTACATGGAATACAATTTACTTGCAGTAAAATTTTATCCTAATTTCAACTTATTGTTTACAAACTGAGAATTATTAATTCTTTAGGATGTTCAATTAATAATGGAGAACTTAATTACTTCTATCATTTTTATATTTAAAGAGGCACAAGGATTTTCACAGGCACCATATAATTAATCTAATGTCCTTTTGTTATATATAATGGTAGATATTTACATTGTAAATATGCATCAAGAACAGAAAACCAAAAATCAGAACATGCCAGAATCTCATATGTTCAGGTTTAAAACTCAAAGATATTTTGAGGATGGCCTTTTTCAGCCTATATATTAGAAAGTAACAAATGAATCTAAGTGACTTACCCTAGTCACACAGAGTGTTAGCAACAAAGCTAGTATCTACTCCTGAGGCTTTAAAATTCCAGTTCAGGATATTTTGCTGTGTAATTTGTTATTTAATTCCCTAAATCCAAACCCATCAAATGTCAAAGAAAACCAAGAAAAAAAAAAGCCCAATCAAAAATTTATATGATTATATATTAGCCAGTTTGGGTAGCCCCGTTACTCTATTATTTTATTTACTAATAAAACAGTTAGAAATGGGAGAAATATTATCAGCATATCAAATGCTACTGACTCGAGGTCAGTTCAACAAAAATTATCAGCTAATTTATATAGTTAATAAATAAATTAAGGAGACAGAGTTATGAGGAGAACTTTCCTCATTTTCTATAGCACTCAATGGAATGAACCATCCTCAGAACACACAGAATTACCTTGAAACAAATGTTTCACCTTGTGGAGCTAATAGATTTTATGTATAATTACTTCCTCTCTGTCCATCACAAACGAGATTGGAAACATGGTGACACAGAAGCTGTATACAATCTGTGGCAAAATCAGTCTAGACAGGATGAAGGTTTTCTTCCCCTATCTGAGATGGCCTTACAGAGATTGTATGATTCATCATTAGCAACATTTGTTGCTGCCTGTGGGAGACACTAGGGAGAGCTGTCCACAGTTATTACTCTACGTGAACCCTGAAGGCGCTTAATTTAAGTGCCTCTTTGCTGGGGATTTGTCTGTCACTGGGGCTTACCCAAAAGGCCAGTTCAGACTTCCAATCCAAATGTGTGAAAAGGGGTGTAAGCCCAAGTAAGGGGGCAGCAGGACACACTCTCTGTCCCAACTTGTAGAATACAAGGCAGGGCAGACATGGCTCAGGTCCTCAAAATAATATGTTAACACCTGTGAACCAAAGACAGAGTATCCAGGAGGCAGCTAGCACTCCTGGGTTTCTTTCCATGGAAGACTAGAGGTGTAGAGCAAACATCCCCATACTCCTGTGTATAAACCAATCCTTCAAACAGAGCTGGCACCTCACTGTTCCTCACTCACTATTTGGCTCCCTTACCTCCTTGCTACTTTCCTTCCCCATCCCCATATTTTATCTCCCTATCCAAATCCCACCCAGATCTATCTCCATCTCCTCTACCAAGCCTTCCCTGACTCTCTGGAGGAAAATGATCACTCTGTCTTCTGATCCTCTGTCACAGTCAGGGGTTCCCTACCAAGCTTTGGTGACAGTAACATGGACTTCAGAGTCTTTCTAGACCCAGAGTCAAGTCCAACCCTGAAAGTGACTGGCTGTGTGACTTTGGGTGAGTTTCTTAAACTCTTCAGGATGCAATAATAATAATTAAAAGTCTTACCTCATTATCACATAACCTAATGCATCAAGAGAGCTGGTGATAGTTATTTTATCTTCCCTAATCTGGCACGTATTTAGATACATATTTTTTTCTTCTGTATTAGTTATCAAGTAGAGATCAGGATAAATATCTATGAGTTCATTAAAAGGCACTTCAGACAGTTTTAATTTTGCCAAAAAATGTGATATATTTGGAACAACCACTAAACTAAATAGTACGCTAATGGCTTTGAGGCCTGATTCTTACTTAGATTGCAAATATGCATAAGTCTCATAATCTGTCTGATACTAATTTTTCAATCTATGTAATGGGAAAAATAACACCTACCTTCAGGATTTATTTTGGACTCAATAGGATGATGAATATAAATGCATTTTAGAAACCATATTAATTCTTATTATGGATGGGTCATCAGTGGAAATAAATACACAGAAAAAAATCTGCCTTAGTAACCAAGCAGGTCATCTTTTTTTTCAACAAAATAAAAAATACATGAAAAAGGAGGTTCATTTCTGTGATGTTAATGATATGTTATCATTCAAGAATAAGTGTGTGTTAGTTAGGTTAGAGGCTAAACTACTAAAATGAAAAGACTCAAATAAATGGTAGTTAATTTTTTTTCTCTTTCACCCAACAGTCTGAATATGTGCATGAGTCTTGGAGTAGTTTCCAAACCAATAGGGTAGTCTTGCTCTATGAAGTCATTAAGGGTCTGAGGTTCCACCCAAGTCAATGATTCTTGATCTCCAAGACTATGTTTCTCGTCATCATAATGAAATTACCAAAGAGACA